GGCAACAAATGTACAAATGTGCTTGACACAATGGATGGATGTATAGATTGTGATAAGAATTGTATGATCCCCCAATAAAATGATAAAAAAAGAGGAAAAGTAAAATTGAAATGGACTTTAAGTGACAAGTTCATCTCAAACAACAAGAGAGAAAACCTGACACAGTTGTCTTTTATGGAAAGCAGGCCACACATGCTCTTCATGACAATGATGCAACAAGGGACCTGCTTCAAAGGATCTTGAAGCTAGCCTTATCTGGATTTTCCAACCATGCTGTCTTGGGACCAAGGTGAATCTGCACACATTCCTGAGACAGCTGGCGAAGGTTGTGCACACTCCACCAGTGATGTTTTATGACCCCACCTGAAAGCTACGAAACTATGATTGGGCACTGTTGTGAGTAATTCCTGGAATCCAAGTAAGATAATGCTTTATATCCGATCAACCAATAGACATCCACTCCCCACCCCGAATTCATCCTACTTGTGACGTCAATAAAAAATTAGCCTAACCAATCAATGATTATACCTTCTTTCTGTTTCAAACGACAAGGGGACTTCAAAAAGCCCCTGGAAGGGTCATCAAGATGACGGAGCCCCCACGATCTTCCTGAGGCCCTCTTGTCTAGCCATGGGTGTGACAGAAAGCTTAGTTCTGCTTGCGTCGGCTGGGGCCTGCCACATCTGGGTGGAATCCCTTTTCTTCCTCCGCATAAATTCTCTTAAAGTCAGTTTTCAGGAACGGGGTGGGTTGATCTCCACAGCTGGAAGCAGACTGCCACAGCTTCTTCCTGGAGAGCTGCTGGTGCCTCCTGCACACCCGCCTACCACTGAGCCACTGTGCTACCAAAGCTCCTAAGATTTCCCATTAAAACCAAATTCACTGACAGTCAATTCTGACTCTTAGCACAGCCTTACAGTGTTTCCAAGGCTGTATCCTCTCCGGAAGCAGGCTGCCACAGCTTTTTCTGTCCCATGATTCAGGGGAAGTGGGGGTTTTGAACAGCCAGCCTCTCAGTCTGCAACTGAACATGTCACCACTGTGCCACGTGAGCTCCTGTAAGACTTCCTAGAGCAGTGGTTCTCAACCTTCCTAATGCTGCGACCCTTTCATACAGTTCCTCATGTTGTGGTGACCCTCAACCATTCAATAATTTTTGTTGCTACTTCATCAGTCATTTTGCTACTGTTATGAATAGGTCGACCCCTGTGAAAGGGGTCGAGACCCACAGGTTGAGAACCACCGTCCTAGAGGCATCTCTAATTCAGTAAGTTGAAGTTACTGCCTTCTTCCCAAGCCTGCTCCTCTTTGTCTACTATCCCTTTCCACATGTCCAGTTCTGCCACACGTAACACCCTTTCTCGTTCTCCGAGTCTCAGGGGTATCCTGACACTCTGGGCTCACCCGTCTCCAAGTGAGCAAAGGTCAGAGTGATGGAAACTGCTAGATAATACCGCTATTGGCCTTTTGGTAGTAAAATCTCTCCAGCCTTTCCCTCTGTGGGCACATGCATTCGAGTTAAAAAGTAGAGACCGGGTGTAAAATGTACATCCACTTTGGTATTCTGCTTGCTCTTTCACGTCATGAGAACACCCTCACCACTCCGCCATCTTCAAACTGCCATTTTAAATGGCGACTTAACCAAGTCTGTGTGGGCTTACCGATATTTACCCTATTGCTAGATATTTCTAGTTCCCTCTAATTGTTGCTGTTATGGATGATCCGTAACATCTTTGTAGGAAAATCTTCACCCGAGTTCCTAGTCCCATAGGACATATCACATATACAGAGTCAGCTCACCTCCCTCAGGTCTTTGCTCAAGCATCAGCTTCACTGAGGCTCTTCTCGGCCACACTGTCTTACAATGGTCCCCCTGACCCACCAATGTGCCCCAGTCCTCTTTTTGGCTTCATCTTCCTCCTCTGCACGAATCACTACCGGATTACCCGGCTAGAGTACGTGCAGCTAATTGCCTGTCTTCCAACTAGGCTCTAGGGGGGGCATTCTGCTGCCTTGGGTTCATTGCTTGGCACATAAGGGGCATTCGGAGGCCCCTCTGCTGAAGCCATGTAGGCCATTGGTACAATATCACCAAAGTGCTTTCTGAAAGCTTACTTCCCGTCGGCAGGGTAGGAGAGTGTGCCTGCTCATGTCACTCTCAAGACTACGATTTTTATTTTGAAAAATCTGTCAACTTGAGGGGTGAAAGAATTGTTAAATTTGAATTTATCAGTAAAGTTGAGTACCAGTCTCAGTAAATTTATCAGTGAGTTCAATTTTTAAAATCTTCATTAGTTTATTTGAATCTGTTCTCAGAATTGTGTTCATAGTCTATCAAGATGCTTTGTGTTGAGCTTCTTGGTCACAAAGAGCTCCCTAGGATTGAAAAATTATGACTCTCTTTCACATGTATTGCAAATTGTTTAAAATTTTATATGTATAGTTATATTAAGATTTTCTAGCAAGATTTTTCCCCCCAGTGTTTTTAATCCTTTCCCAGGTTAAAATTTGAGTTACCTATAATCTTCCATCTTTAAATTAGTTCTGCTTCTTTTTATTAACTTTTAAAATTTAACTTGTAAGGAAAACAATACCATGTCAGATTAAAAAACAAAACAAAAAGCTCATTACAAGTCTTTATATATGGAGAGAACATTAATAGCTAATTTCTCCTTCCCCTCACCTGCTGTGTCCGATGTTGCTGTGCCTTGTGTGTTTCTGTGGCGGCTGGAGCAGGAAGTGGGCGGAAGTCCTGAGACCTGGCTCTCACTTACCTGGATTACGTCGGCAGGCTTGTTGATGTGCTCCTTGAAGATCAACATGGTGGGGGTGTAGACATTGACGTTGTACTGCCTTGTCATCTCCTCGGCCCCTCTCAAACCAACATTGACATAGCCAAATGACAAATAGTCTTTGTATGCAAAAGCAGTCAACTGTTCGGGCAAAACAGAGAGGAAGAAAATGATATTGGTCAGTCAGTGCTTCAATGACCACTCAGGTGTGATGTTTTCACATCAGTGGGGGGAAGATAGCTGCTATCATCTTTAGCAAAAGTAGGTCTTCGACAGGAGCGTATGTGAGAAAGATGCGGCAGTCTGCTTCTTGTTTTATAGGCTCACTAAGAATCAGAATCAACTCAGTGGTAGTGGGTTTGGGTTTTAAGTCTTCTGAACCTTGACCAAGCTATTCTACAGTGTTCTCTGCACGAAATTATACCGACAAAAGTAAACACAAGTAATCCTCCTTGTCACAGATAAAGCAAGAATATTCAGTGGAAGCAGGGCGGCTGTGGAATTCCAGCCCCCAGTTCAAGTCCTCAAGGAGACGGACTGGCACAGTGGCTGCCACAGTGGGCTCAAGCACAGGAACCATGGTGAGGGTGGCGCAGGACCGGGCTGTTCTGTGCACGGTCACTGTGAGTCAGAACCAACTTGACAGCGCCTAACACCCACAATTCCTTGACAGTGGCCATGCTAAGGGTCACACAGGACACTGCCCTTTCCGATCTCGTGCTACAGTGACAATGAGAGGGCCCTGCAGGTGCAGGACAGGCTACGAGTCTGAGGGCAGATTGTGGAGCAGACAGGCTTCGACGAGGCTGCATTTCCCCGACTGCCACGAGGCCATGGGTACATCACAACAATCGCTCACTACCCCAGTCTCTTTGTCTCAAACAGAAGGAGACTATACCCAGCCGTGGGTTCTTCCGAGGATTTGATGGGAATATGTATGTGAATGCCCTAGGACTTTAACTAGCACCAATAGTTAGTTCACAGCTGCTCAGTGTCCGGTCTTCAAACATCTCATGGAACAGGTCTATTACTTACAAGAAAAGGAAAATCAGGCTACAAGTTTCTCCCCAGACCATCACTCGTCAGCAAAGACATACAAACGCCCACACACCCCGCCCCCGGCAGCTGCAGTACCTTGTAGAGCAGTGGCACCACAGGCATTTGGTCAAACAGAAGGACGCGAGGCTTATTCTCTTGCTGCCAGCCAGAGAGGAATCGGACATAATTTTTATTGGTCACCTGAAGTTGATAAAAGAATGTTAGTTTTTATTCTTAATAACTGCATTCTAACTAATCTTTGCGTCTTCATTTGACTGAGAACAGAGCCACTGAGTCCGCCTTTCCCTTTGCTGACTCTAAAGGGCTGGTATCACCCCTCTCCGAAAGGCCGCGGCCATAGGAAAGACAAACAGAACCTGTTTCCAAAGTCAGTCCTTGCTGAATTACAGACTCCAGATCTGAATCTACTCATCTGCAGCGAGAGCTTCTCTTTCTAAGCGGTCTATATACAAGTAAGGCAGTCCTACCTATCTCTAGATTAATTTAATTTACTGCCATGTGAATTATTACTTTTGTGTTTCCCTGTGTATTTCCTAATAATCATAAGAGGAAAACTTAGAAAATAAATATATTTTGCATACAGCAATTTTTCATAAAGAAAAAGGCTCACTCCAAGTCAGCCCTGACCCACAGCGACCCTAAAGGGCTGAGTGGAACTGTCCCACAAGGTTCCTAAGGCTGTGAGTTTTAGGTAACAGAGTGCCCCCTATTCCTCCTGTGGAGTGGCTGGTGGGCTCAAACTGCTCACCTTTCCGTTAGCAGCCAGACACTCGAACTACTGCACCGCCAAGGCACATTAGACATTTTTCATAGGAGTTTTAAAACACTCACCTTTCCACAGTTTCCAGAATGACTGCTATAAAGCCCAAGTCCGGTCACATCACTCCTCTAACTTCACCCCAGAAAGGCTCCCCATCACCTGCAGGCCAAGGCCCACACACCTTAAAGGGGGCCTTGGAGCGAGCTGCCTGTTGACCCCTCTGATCGTATTCTGAACAAGAACTGCTTCCTACACAGCAGGCTCTTCCATGTCTCCAGGCCTCGGTATGCCTGGAACTGTTGCTGCCTCTCTCTCCTTACCTAACCAATTTCAGCCAGAAACCCTTTCCCAACTCTCGAGAAAGAGCTCCCAAAACCTAGGGTGGACAAACTCACCCACTAGACTGGGAGGCCCCTGCGAAGTGGAGCCTGGCACAGAAGCAACACATTACCACAGGCAGCCCGCGCTCCCAGCACTTTAGGAACCTACTTTCTTTCAAGGCAGTCATTGCCAAATACTTCTTCTGTGGGTAATGACCCAGGACGAAGGCAGACTTGACCCTTGACCTCAGATACCAGGATACAAAAAGATGCCTTGGAGCTATGAGCATTTTAAGTTCACATGTACTCTTACTGTCTGGCCCCTTTAGCTCAACCTTGTGAAATGCATTCAAACTGTTGCCATCACTATCCGATCAGTCTTTGATTGAATGGAATGTGGCGTTCTCTGTAGACCTGATCATTAAATAGACAACCAAATGGTATCTGTTTGCCAAAACCCAACAGACTACACACCACCAGGAGGAAGCCATAATGTGCACTATGGGCTTTAGTTAATGTTTCCAACCTGGCTCTCAATCTGAACCACTGTGTCACACTCATGTAAGATGGGGATCCATGGAACTGGGCAGGCGGGGTAGGTATCTCGCACCAACCACAACGTGTTTCTAAACCTAAAACCGCTCTGAAAAATGAAAGGTTCTACAAATGGGTTTTTATTTTTTGAAATCTGTTGTTTTCTATAGATGTAACCATTATATATATATAACTAAATGTAACTTAATTTGACTACTTTCAGAAGACATGCCTTCGTACCAACAAATTCACAGGTTGTAAAGAACTCCTTCATCCTACACGTAATCTAAGGAGCCCTGGTGGTGTAGCGATTCCACGTTGGGCTACTAACCCTGAGGACTGCAGTTCGAAACCACTAGCTGTTCCACAGGCTCCCCTAAAGAGTGACAGCCTTGCACACCCACAGGGGCAGTTCCGCCCTGTTCTGCAGGATCGCTGAGTCAGAATACATTTGTTCTTTTGGTTTGCACAGGAAATTGTCCCTGTCATTAAGATGCAGTGGACGCGATGGTAGTATCACAGTACAGTATCTATTAATTGTTTAACACCTTCAGAGTGCCAATCAACAGGAATGCATTCTGTCTCTGTACTTAGTCTGTTCAATTTTTCAGTCTTAGAGACTTCACGTAAATGATTTGAGTAATTAATCCATATGAGCACAAGGGCGGTGAGCAGCCCCACCCCGCAGACCACCTCTCAGCCATGCGCTCCCCAATAAGTACTTACCTCCTCCACCAAGCTCCCCGGAAGAAGGCTTTCTACAAACTGCCGTAGGTTCTCCCGGACAACTGCATTATGGAAGAAGGAGATTTTTCCATTTATAACTCCGAGGATGGAGGGTGTGCTGTGCGCTCCCAGGTGGTGGGCGAGGCGTCTCTCATACCCAGCGTGGACCACGCCAATTCCTACACCTGACAAGGATGGGAAGATGACATGAAGCCTTTCCATGCCCCATGGCACCGGACGAAATGCAGGCTGTTCAGTGTCTCCCGGCGTGAGACGTACATCTCTGCCTGGGAGAAGAGGTTATCATGCCTAACAGTCTGTCCGGCTTCTGTTGCTGCAATTCTAACCGGGTCCAGCTTTTCTGCAGAGCGATCTGATAATAAAAGAGCTAACGATTTTCTCTCTTTTAACTACCGTTTTTTAAAAAACCAACCCCAATCCTATAACCGATCCAAGGGTCCGTCACCAGGACAGTGGTTGAAGAACTTCACCTTCTATCAATAGGACCGAAGAAAGTCACAGTCAAACTTGTTTTCAACATGTCCTCTTCATATAAATTGCTTTATAGAGGTATTAGAACGTACAGATGAGCAGAAAGAGAGCAGAATTAAAATCTCTCAAAAACTTAAATCCCCTAACAAAACAACAAGCTTTTGGTATTTATCCGTTTCTTTTCCTACAGAAGTCTGTGACTAGATGCAATAAAATGCGATCAGCTGACCCTGGTTGCAGCCTTTTCCACTTAATTCTTATAACTTTCCTTTTTCTTTCACCAGCCTATCTGGAGGCCCATCGCTCTGCTGAACCCGGGTGATCCAGTAGACAGAGTGTGTTTCTGTCCCAGAGTTAACTTTTCTAAAAATGGACCCGTGGTTTCCTCCCACACACCAGCACCACCCATGCCTTGGTCATTCCAGCTGACGTACATTAAGAGTCACCTTCACTCTCTCCTGTCTTGCACCCTATAGCCCAGCCCATCTGTCCTGCTGGCTCTGTCTTCCAGACAAACCAGCACTGGACCAGTTCCTGCGCTTTCCAAGCCTCCCCCCAAGTCGTCCTCTGCTCTCAGCCTGGGTTGCTGCACTAGCCTTCATCGCCCTCCCATTTCTCCTCATCCCGACAGTCTATTCTCAACACAGCAGCCAGATGGTTCCTTCTGAAACAGACAAACAGATCCCATTACTTCTCTGTTGAAAACCTGCAAAGGATCCCCATTTCACTAGGGATAAAATCCAGAGTGAGCAGGGCCGGTAAGCTTCTCCCTGATTTGTTTCTGGTCCCTGGTTCCGTTCCCCACACCCCACTACTTGCACTCACCTGGCTCCAGCACCTTGCTCTTCCTGGAGCACATTGGTACATTCCTGCCTCCTGCCACAGACCTGTTCACACTGGCTGTTCCTGTTGCCTGCAGTGATGACCCCACCCCCACCCCCTGCCCACTCACAGGCGTGCTGCTGAGGCTGCCTGCCTCCCCTTTGTGCAAGCCTGCACAGTGAAAGCCAGCCTGGCTCGTCCTCTATTAAAGTGCCCTCCCCACATTCAGGCCACTCAACCTATCCACTTTTGTCTTTCCCAAAGCACTTGCCATCTAAAACACAGGCCTGACTGATTCTGTCAGCTCCCTGTCGTCTGTCTTTCCCCCTGGATGTAAGCTCCATCACGCCAGAGCCGTCTGGTTCTGCAAGCGCCTGGAACAGAGCTTAGCCTATGCTGGCAGCTCACGGACCCTGGCCGTCCAGCTCCAGAACCACTTCTTACTGTTGTGCACTGAAGCTGCTTTGGGCTTTCACTATGATAAGGGATGTTGTGAAGGGCATCCTTGTATACTTCACATCTTTGGGCACTTGCATGATTACTTCCTCATTAATACACTCCTGAACTGGAGCCAGTAATCAGAGAAGCTGGACTGTATGAAGAAAGTGGCATCAGGGTTAGAGGAAGGCTTATTAGCAACCTTGCTTGCTGACAGTGAGGAGGAATTGAAGCACGTGCTGGTGAGGAACAAGGACTGCAGCCTTCAGTGGGGATTCCAACTCAACGTAAAGATGACCCTAATCCTCACAACTGGATTAATAGGTAACATCATGATAAATGGAGAAACTATTGAAGATGTCAAGGATTTGTCTTGCTTGAATCTACAATCGATGCTCATGGAAGCAGCAGTGAAGAAAAATAAGACAAACAGCACTGGGAAAATCTGCTCCGCAAGACCTCTTGAAAGTGTTACAGAGCAGGGATGTGACTTTGAGGACGAAGGTGCACCTGACCCAAGCCGTGGGATTTTCAATTGCTTCATGTGAATGTGACAATGAATAAGACCAAAGAAAAAATGGAGACATTTGAACTATGGTGCTGGCGAACACTAAAGTTCCTTGGACTGCCAAAAGAACAAACAGATCTGCCTTGGAAGAAATACAACCAGAATGCCCCTTAGAGGCGAGGATGGTGAGACTTTGTCTCACGTACTTTGGACATGTTGTCCAGAGAGACCACCTCTGGAGAAGGACGCCAGGCTTGGGAAAGTAGAGAGAGGGCAGTGAAAGGGAGGAAGGCCCTCAACAAGATGGACCAATGGGCTTGAGCAGAGGAACAGTTGTGAGACCAGTGCAGGACCGCGTAGTACTTCCTTCTGTTGTGCCGAGGGTCACTCCGGGTCAGAACCAGCTTGACGGCACCCAACAACGCAACAAACTGGAATCACTGAAAACACACAGACAAAACCCTACAGAGGGCTTCTGAGACGAAATCTTTACAGGAGGTCTCAATCTTTCTCCCGT